GATTAGATGTTTGTATTCATATGTAAAGACACTAACTTCAATCTTTAGCAATGAATTAATAAAAACTCAACGAATAAATTTGTATGCGTGAAAAGTCAATTCATAAAAACACTTGTATAAAAATTACTCCTCAAAAAGTAAAGATTTCAGTTTAATATTTAAATCTAGAACACATTTTACAATATCACTTACCTTAAAAAATAAATTGAAAAATGCCCTTCAAAAGCCTACATTTTTCAAAACATTCAAGAAGAAAAAATATGAGGAATATCTATAAATGCGAATGTCCAGTTGGCTCATCCAGATGTCCGATTCGTCCAACGACCACTTTTTCAATTGTTCAGAATTCCGACACACAACAGCTACCTTAGTTGTCCTATTCAGGATGTGGATGTGCGGTTACTTATCCGATTACTTAGAATTTTTGGGGTTTTGAATTCTATAAATACCATCTCACTTTGCATTCATTAACATACTTTTGATGAGCATTTAAGTGAGATATTCTTGAGCAATATTATATTGATCTTACATCTTACTTATCTTTATCAAATTATTTACTTTGAAAATTTTTTTATTAAATCAACTTTTGAAAAACACCTTTCTCATCAACTTTTGAAAAACATCTTTCTCATCAAAGTTTTTCTCATCCAACACTTAAGTTTCATTTATTGTTATTCATTAAAGTGTTAGCATCTTTCTCTTTTAGTACTTAATTTGTTTATATATCATTCATTAAGAAAGAAGTTTCAAATTCTTAAATCATTTATCTTTTAATTTGTAGGTTATATTGAGGTCTCAAAAAGCTCAATATTGTATAAGAATCAATACTCCGTGCTTAAAAGTCATCGAAAGCTTTGTAAAGATTTGGATTGCACCATAAATCAATCAATATTATGAAAGTGCCTTGCTCGTGAATGTAGATCATTGGTTGTGATCGAACCTCCACAACTATTTCGTTTGCACTTTCTATTTCCTTTTACTTATTACTTTCGTATTTGAGCATTTTGTTTCGTGTTTGAGCATTTTGTTTAAGACTCAATCATTCCCAACTTTCATGAATTTGAATTAATTTTTCGAAAACATTTAAAAATCCAATTCACTCCCTCAATCATTGTTAGTTATTCTTGGGCTGTCAGTTTAGTCTATCATATTTTAATAACAAAAATACAAGATACATAATAAATACACGATCTGGATAATTTGGAAGAAAAGATGGTACAATCCTTAACCTTGATATCTTCAATGATTATAGACAGCCATTCTTCATCTTCATAATCATCCCAAGTCTCGATAAATTTCTTGTAATTTTTCTACCAAGAATTTTATGAATAATGGTATGAAAACTCCCTTTTGTTTGACCTAAATTATGAATATTTGTAGTCTTCAATGGGCTTTAGAAATCGTGCCACGAGATCACTTAAAATACTCTTGGTTTCAGCCGCCTAACTTTGGAAATTCATAGTTTTTGATACAAAACCCCTAATTGCCATCCATTTTTATGTTGAACTCCAAATTTTATTACCTTTCCAATTGTATATCATTTTCCATGGAGCTCTTTGTATAGAACTTTATGATCTGATTTCTTCACATGCTCCGAATAAGTTCTTTGTTTTGCATCTTTTGGTCCTTTTATGCTTAAACATCATGCATTTTGTATCCATAGCTTTTAAAATTGAAAGTTTCTACTACAAAAATAATATTAGTTTCTACTATGAGTAAAATCAAATATTAGTTAAATTTAAGAGCCTAGATTAGAATGTAAAATACACTAATCAATATCCCTAAACTTATACTTTTGCTAGTTCTGACCAAAACTATCTACTCGACTACTCTACAATGTGAGCAAAATGAAAGAAACTAGATAACTCACCGCGACGATTTCAGATTCAAAATTTAGCACTTCATAATAAGTTTCCAAATAAAACCCTAAAAACTTTTTAAATTATCCTTGTTAATCTGGTGTATCTTTACATAGCCAACTCCCATCATCACCTAAATCTAACTAATATTGCATAAATTTATGAACTTCAAAGTTGGTTCCATCGCAATCCTCAATGATCAAATTCTATCATTTTTTTCTCATCACATACACACACACCCAAACTTGATGTTCATTCTCTTTTTTGGATTTTTATTTTAAAAGGTTGCTCTTATATTATTGGTTACTTTCCTGCTCAAAATTCAATTGAAGCAAACCAATAAAAGTAATTAATTAGACACATAAAGATTCTTCAAATTTTGAGTGTCCCTAGCTTCAAGGCAAGTCAAATCTACTAGTTATCTAGATCTTCAAATTTAATGTCCATTGCTCAGTAAGTTTTCAATGCATGTTCTGTATTATGCACATATTTTTATCCCCATTTCGAACTTGTGTTCTTTATTTTAGTTTTTTGATGTTTTTATTGGGTTCTTTTATAGTGTAGCTTTTGCTTATGTAGACATATAGCTTTTTCTAGTTTCCATGACTAGTACAATACCTTTTATTGGAACCAGTAGTTGGGATTATATTAATAGAATATAGTTCGTAAATACTTAAACTTAGTAAATTAAAAATTCTATCTTAATTACCCATTTCAAATAGTTCACGTCAGGCAATCAAAATATCCTAAAAGCAGTTATTAAGACAGTTCTAACATCAACATATAGATGAATTATAGTGTCTACGTGATTTACTCAATTGTAGAAATTAACAAGTATGAACACCAGATATAACATGATAAACCCGTAAGAGAAACATCCACGAGCATACATGCCATGGGTAAATCAATCTACTAAATCAAATGATCAAAAATATAGTAGTCTCGATTTTGCAATTTTGCAAAATTAACAAAAGAACAATCAAAAGAAATCTAAGAACAACTCTCTGATTTTCTTCTTCTTTTGACTTGTCCACTATTGTACTCAGCTGCAACCACTACTTGGATTAAGAATGACAATTCTTGCCCCCGGGGGCATAGCTCAATGGTGCAACGGACAGGAGTGAGGTTATCTCACGCCTTGTTGGTAGCCGCAGTGTGGGAGTTCGATCCCTGAGACATGGAATTAAATTCTTTGTAGACACAGTATACAGGCAGCTCTTGTTCCCTGACCTGTTGGGGCACATCCTGCGATTTACCTCCCTCACAAAGCTCTAGGGGCAGGGCGGTGGAGGCCCTCAAAGTTGGGGTTCAACCTTTTTGTTTTTTTTAAAAGAATGACAATTCTTAACTTACATCAAACAGCTTGATCTTTGAATTGGATTGAAGATTCATGTTTCGATGTACTTTCTTCAAGTACAGCTGAAGAACACAATTTTGTTGTGCGATTATTCAATAATGCATAACACCAAATGAACTCACTGGAATATGGCAGAACTTGTTGCCGCAGGTTCATTGGCTGCATGTAAAAATTTCTCAAAGCTGTTTTTCTGAGATTAATCAATAAAGCATATCGTCGATTGAACTTGCTAGAGAATGGCAGAACGTGTAGCCGCTGATGCACCAGATGTTTGTATATTTTCTCAAAGCAGGTGATCATCATTTGATTGTTTGCTTCACTTATATAAGTAATTTACAAAGCACGAATTGAACTTACTAAAATCAAAGCATTCAACCACGGTTTTATAACATATCATGCTTCCCTAACTCATAACACATCATGCTTCTCCTAATTTATAACACAGCATGCTCTCCCTAACTAAAACATCATCACAGTTTTACCACCATCATCATCACAAAATCAGAATCTACTACTTCCCCTTTTTTGAAATTAAAAGCACAACATAAAGTATTAGGGAACAAATAGTTAGAGCAAGGGTTAGAGTCAGCATGATAGAACGAGACAATTAGTGGACTTCTTGGCACAAAGACGGTTGGTCTGGACTAGCTGTTTAGTGCTGGCAGTGGCAGCTTGAGTATAGGTGATCGCCTAAGGTCTCGCTTTGGTAAGGGCCCCAAATTATATAAAGTTAATTGGTTGGTTGAAGAAAAATGAAAATTATATTTATAAAATTCTGAAAATAGAATAAACGTATGCAAACATAAGAAACTAATAAAAATTGAAAATACAAAAATCTTTAATATATATATGGCAACAAACTTATCACTTATATTTATTTATCACAAATGTTACTTTCCCTATTTATAATTAAGTTGACACTATCTTCCAAACATTCATTTTCTTTTTTTAACCAAATAAAAGGCCTCTTTGTCTTCTCCAATTCCATGTCCAACAATCACCCACCATTATTTTTTCAACCCAACAAGATATAAATGATCTCTCTTTGAATTAAAATTTTGAAGATTCAATGTAATTTGGTTTGATCTCACTACCAGTGTTACAACCTTACGGGTTTTTTTCTCTCTCTTATCTTCAAAATATATACTACAGAGTACATACACTACAAAAAAGTGCGGCCTCAGAGTCGGAAAATTCCGTCGCTAATGGCTTGATTTCCGTAGCTAACAACACTTACCGACAAAATCGATATGTCGTTAAATGGGTTAGTGAAACCCTCACCGCTAATTTACCAACGGATATCTAGCGTTATCGGAATTGAGCTACGGGAAAACATTTTGTTGGTGTTCTGCAATGGACATTTGCCATCGCTAATTACTGACATCAAAAAAAATTTGTTGGTGTTCTTCAATGGATTTTTGGCCGTCGCTATTTACCGATGAATGGGGTTGTTACTATGCCGTTGGTATTACCAACAGTTTTCTAACCAATTTTAACAACAAAATTTACAAACAACTAATTTGTCCCTAAATAGCTACTAATTTTCCATTTTAATTAGCGTCACTAAGTGAAAACAATTTTCCTACAAAAATTATTCGTTTATAATAGTAACGTATAGAAAATTTGAATTATAATTTTAAAAGAAATGCTGCTAAACATTTTTATTTAATATATTTTGTATCATGAATTAATCATATTAAAAAAGTTAAAATACAATAACAAATAATCAGGTACGAAATTGGAAACAATTTCATTGAATGATTCCCCATTCAACAATTTCACAAAATCAAATTAATTTAGCTTCCATTTCAAAAATCAATATTAGTTTGTCGAAATTCAATCCAAAAAATATCTACACATGATCTTCAAACACTTTCAGTGGTAACTTTGTTATAAACAAAATAAACATTTACTATGTCCAACCATTGAAGATCATTGTGCTTGAATGACTAATCTCATGACCCATTCCTTTCTCCCAACATTCGAAGTATGGTTTGTTTGAACTGAATCCTCTTATTCTCTTCTTCACAGCTACCATCTTCTTCTTTTGAAGTAATTCACTATTTTCCCTTGTAAGTTGATCTATCTTCTCGCAAGCATCACGAAGTTCCTCTTGCAAATTAATGATATCAGCTTGTCCATCGTATGAACTGGAGATGCCAACTTTGTGCAATTTACGATGATGAATACCAAGCCCATACAAGCGACCACCCTTACTAGGACCTTGACTTGCTTCACACCATGCTTCAATGTCAATTTCAGGTTGTGATGAAACATTTGAACCATATTTATCATGAATTGCATTTTCATATTTTTCCTATAAAACAAATGCAAATATCAATCAATAACTATGAACAACATATAATAAAAATTAATGTATTTCACTTACATAGACCATTTGTAACTTATTGTCTACAAAGTCTCCTTCTCCCTTCTTTCATCGATGTACACGTTCGAACAATTGTGCAGCAGTAGGTAGCTTGCCTAATTTCTCATACTAAAGACAAGCAACATAGTCAATGTTTAGTTTAAGAAGATTATTAATTGGCATACTATTCCCAAAATAAAACATCATCTCATGCATACTAGTAAATATCTGGTTTTACACATCATACACTTTCATAATGTAAACAATTATTCACTAAAATTGCAAGTTCTCGACTTTAGCACAAAATATGCATTCATCAGAAAGCAAACATTGAAATCTGGAAAATTCCAAGTTAAATGTTGAAGAAAATCAGCATAACTTATACCTAAGCAAAAATGTAATACTCTTATTTTAGATGTTGTGCACTAGTTCTTGCAGCAAAATATAATGTACTCCAAGCAAAAAAACTCGATCTAAAATACTTTCCTTTAAGAACTTATACCTCATGTAAAGGAAATAAAATTCCATTATTAAAGGAAGCTGGTTTATATAGAGCTTTTAAATTTCCCGAATGGTAACTTACTACGTAATTAACTGTAAGTGAACACAACATGACAGTGGGTCTAGTTTCAGTTTCAACTAGACAGAACATGCTGATTTTTGTCATATTCAGCCCCTAATGGGAGTATATTTTCCCTTTTCATGGTCTGCAACATTCACTCTCTGTCCTATTATTATCACAAGATTATATGTCAAAAGTTGTGCATCAAATAGGAATCAATCATGACATCATCTATAAATACTAAATACACATGTGAAAGAAGATTTTTGCATAAAATTAGACATCGAACCGGAGCATTGTGAGAACATTTCTCAAAATGTAGCAAGCAATAACTTAAGGTGAAAAGTCAAAATTGACAAAAGCAGTCAAGCAGAGGAACCAACTTGAGAATGAACAGGAGAAAGAGAGTTTAATTAAACAAGTAAAAGAGATAAGCTCATATCCTTATTGTAAAAAATTCAAAGGTTTTGGTAATTGGTAATTAAAGGAAAAATGGTATACAATTCAAAGCTATCGAGTAACTATGACTATTGTCCATATTTAATATACCGCGGGTTAGAATCCGAAAATATGGAGATTAATACATCATACAATTGCATTGCTCATGCGTCACGTGGAATTTGGTCCTTGGTTATGGCAATTTGCAAGTCAACTTTGACTACATGAAGGTGCATTGACACTCCATCTAGGAAAATGCTCGAGAAACTACTTTAAATAATGTATTGTATCACAAATGAAAATGACTACCTTTAAACATTGAAAAATATCGAGCTGATGGTCTCAAAAGATCAAGACGCTTAGCTGAAACTGATTTAACCAGTTCGAAGACCTTTCTACCATTTCCCTCCTCAACAGTAGAATCTGTAACACCAAGAAGTTCCACTTTGTAGAATTAGGAGGCACTGTTCTTAATTTGTTTTTTCTTCACATTAACTCTGTATACATAACTTGTCTCACAATGAAAACTACATGCACTATTTCAGAGCATCAGTGACTTTTCAACGGGCATCTCCCAACTACCCCAATACAAGAAAACTGAATCTTATCTTTTTCTAATTTCAAAATAACAAGATCTCTCTCTTTCCATGCTATGTGGTAATATGATTAATGGTGAATATATAGACGTTACATAGCTAACCAAATGGTAAATTACTTGAGTATATTGAGATTTAAAGTAACAAAGTTCAAAAAGGATAAAGAAAGGAAAATAATATTTTATTGCAACCCTTTATATGCCTTTCTCTACATTATTAGTTTGCACATATGCACAAATCTAACAAATGGAATTCTAGTATAAATGGACAGAACAAAAGCTCTTCTAATAGAATAAGATAACCCACAACATGTCAATCATCTATGAAATTGATTCATAAAATTAAACATTACCAGCCTCAACTTGTGGGCAGCAATTGTTATTGAACCAGCAGTGTGCTTAGTAATTGTTCCTGACTTTACAGTGAGTCGGTCATTACGGCCAAGTTTAGATTTCTTCTTCCATCCTTCATTGTTCCAATGTTTATCAATTATCTCATTCCAATGCTCTGTACTTAACCATGGTGGTCCATATCCCTTCCAATTAGCTACATTCTGATCCACTACTTTCCTTAGCCTTAGTTCAAGCTAAACAGAATATCTCTCGCAGCCAATCAATTGAGGCGGTATTCCATGCTTTCTCCACTTCGTTCTCCTTATTTTTTGGCTATGACTATTGTTGCTAATGTATGTACCAACCATTAGTATGCAACAATAAATTTATGAGGACAACAAGTATATTTAAATGAAATTTATGCTTCCTGAAATCTTTCCCACAAGAAATTTTTTGTGTCAACTGGCAACAAACTAAATGTAGGATAAGGTCCACCCCCAATAAGATTTTAAATTAGTACTTACAGCACGTGATGCTGAGATAGTAATGAATCTAAAAGCATGAAAACAGAGGCAGGAAACTTAAACCAGATAGCATGGAACTTAAAGAAGTGAGGGATTCAGGCAAATAGTAGGAAAACTGAAGCAAACAACAATTTTACCTTCTTCAAAATGTAACTTGCTGATTTTTTTAAAGCAAATGAATGCATTTTTTTGTCTTTGTATCTTCAAAAACTGAATTGAAGTAGAAAGTAATTGGGGGAATAATTCACACAAGTTGATTGCAATGTCAAAGCAAAACCAACATTTTATCCTGCACAAAGTGCTTTGTCTTCTTTCCAATTTTAAATCTCCTAAACTTAATCAATAGCAAAAATTCTAAAACTTAATAAATCACAGCCTCCCATAACTTTTTTTTATTGCAGCTGATCCAAACTTATCAGCACATAAGTTTTGTCTATAAGGTTGTAAGGTTGCATAGAACACCGGACCTTCTAATCTATACAACTTGTCAAAATGTAGGAGATAAAATCTGAATTATGTGCTTTTACATGGTGATTTCTTCTAAATGTATGAGAGTAACCTGAAAAATCATAAAGGATATTCATTTACTTCGATGGTTAACATTGTTAAGCATAAATCATTAACCACACAAGTAGTGCAAAGTATACATCCTCTTTAGTAAGTTTTAAAACCAGTGAAATCATTTTACATTCAACACAAACTAAAAAAAGGTTAGGATACATACCTATCATCTCTCACAGTTAAAAGAATTCTTCCAGTTTCATCTGGACAACCATTCGCACCGTGGTTAGGACCCCTTTTCCTACCATCAGGTCTATCGTTGTCCTCTAAAGAAAGAGATATATCAGTATCCTCATAACTAGTTTCAGTCCAGCCATTGTGTTGAGTTTTTGGAAAAATTTGGGGGGAGGGGAGGGGGGAGGGGGGGGGGGAGGGAGAGGGGGAGACGCCGGCTTTGGTGAATTTGAAGGAAAATGTTGTATAGATAAAAATATAAATTCATGATAATAATATGCAAAAATTAATAAATCTTAGATCTAAAATATTAAACCCTTTACAATTAGTTGGTATTAGATAACAAATCAATTTCAAATGGATTAATATGGAAAAAAATTTGATTTTTGTAGGGAATAGTTATTATTAATGAACATAGGGAGAGGGAGAGGGGGAGACGCCGGCTTTGGTGAATTTGAAGGAAAATGTTGTATAGATAAAAATATAAATTCATGATAATAACATGCAAAAATTAATAAATCTTAGATCTAAAATATTAAACCCTTTACAATTAGTTGGTATTAGATAACAAATCAATTTCAAATGGATTAATATGGAAAAAATTTTGATTTTTGTAGGGAATAGTTATTATTAATGAACATATTAAAATCAAGGTGTGAAAATTGTTATTTAGTAACGCATTGTTGATCGCATGATAGGTTAATCATGTTACGAATACATGATGTGGTCGTACTATTTGATTTTTCCAATCCATAATGTCTACAAATAGCTTGATCCTCCAGTTTTGAAATCCTCAACTCTCGAGTGCGATTTTGTTATAATTTTCAAAAGATATTGAGTTCTTCGACTGTTATCACATTGTGTTCCTCCCATATTGATGCAGAAGGGTTCGAATCAAGCAATGCCGAGTTGTTAGATAGCACGTCGATAGTGCTAAGATACCATGAGTCGGCAGATCGACGCAAAGATGGCAATTGATCGCAATCTTTTTCCTAATTGTGGCAGTTTTAAAAACGTTTAGAAAGTTGGTCATAACTTTCGCTACGGTTATCAGAATCGCAATTATGACCCCAATTCCAAAAGCTCTTTTCAGTGTGGACGTCATGGCCTGTGCATCATTTTCGAGGCCAAAATCCACTGTTTTCCCTTCCAATTTCCCATTTTTGTTATTTTTTCCATTTCTAATAATATTTCGTTTGTCGTTTTCTTGATGATTATTAAATCGATTTAAGCCAGACTTTTGGCAAATTACTTCTTTTATTACGTAGTTTATTTTGGTATGATTATTGAAATTTTGCTATTTTTTTATCTATATACTTCCTTATAATCCAGAAATTCAGCATCGTCCTTGTGGTGATATACAGTATCTAGCAAATATGTATAAAATCACTCCCTGTATATGAAATGGGTAAAAAAACAGTTTGTGAAAATTCTATGCAAATACAGTGAGCTTTTTGCAAATACGGTAGGCAACATATACGGTAAGGTGCAAATTGTAGCGACCCAATTTTATTTTTTTTTTACTTTATAAAAATCAAATAAATTTTTTTATTTTAAAACTTAAGTCACTACCAAATGTTTCTTAAAAAAATATAAATGGGTTAATAATGATATTATCCCTTGTCAATAACCTAAAGAAATCTTAACATGTGAAATAAAAATCATGTTATGATGAACTTTGAAGAAAAATATATAA